TGAAGCCATGTGATCCTGGACTTCTGTTTGTAGGAAGTTTTTTATTACAGGTTTGATTTCATTTCTAGTGATTGGTCTGTAGAAATTATCTATTTCTTCTTGATTAAATTTTGGTGGGCTGTATGTTTCTAGACAATTCCATTTCTTCTAGGTTGTCAAATTTGTTGGCATATAATTGTTCATAGTATTCTCTCATGGTTTTTTGTATTTCTGTGGGATCAGTTGAGATTTTTCCTTTTTCATTTCTTATTTTGTTTATTTGGATTCTCTCTCTTCTTGGTGAGCCTGGCTAGAGGTTTGTCAATTTTGTTTACCCTTTCAAAGAACCAGCTTTTGGTTTTGTTGATTTTTTTTTCTATTTTTAAAAAAAATCTCTACTTTATTTCCTCCCTGATCTCTGTTATTTCCTTCCTTCTGCTGACTTTAGGTTTTGTTTGTTCTTCTTTGTCTAATTCTTTTAGGTGGTAGGTTAGGTTGTTCATTTGAGATTTTTCTTGTTGTTGATGAAGGCCTGTATTGCTATGAACTTTCCTCTAAGAACTTCTTTTGCTGTGTCCCATAGATTTTGTATGGTTGTGTTTTCATTGTCCAGGAAGGTGGTGGCTGGGGCTCTCGACCACTCCTGGTGCCTGGGCAGGTGCGTCAGTGGCCCATGACCAGTCTTGTTCAGGAGGGAGTTGGTGGAGGCTCACAACCACTCCTGGGTTCTGGGCAGGAGTTGGTGCAGTCCCTCAACCACTCCTAGGGTCTGGGAGGGTTTTAGTGGGGGATTGTGACCACTCCTGGCACCAGGGTGGATGGTGGTAGAGGTCTGTAACTGCCCCTGGAGCCTGGGCAGGCAGTGTCTTGCCCTCTGGGAGCACACATACATGGAAAAAAGGCTATAGTCTAGGTCCCACCTCTCCCCTCCTACATCACCCAAACAATGCTGACTGGCCTCTGAGGCAGCTCAGGCTTCCTCCGCTTATACCCCCAGCCGTGGTGGCACCGGATTCATCCCCCCGCCCCCCAGTCTGTCTCTACACAAACCACCCCAGTCCTCTCCCTGGTTCTGATCTCTGGAGCCGAAGTTCCAGCACCCAGCCCCTGCCAGCACTGGGGATGCACATGTCAGTCTGGTGAGTGCAGGTCTCCCTCTGCTCTGGCTGCCACGAACTGACTGCTGCATTCTTCTCAGAGGCTCTGAAGCTCCCCTTCTGTCCTGGCAGATCTCCCTGCTGGTGAGGGGGCTTCCCAGGGTGCATGAACCTTACCTCTTTCACAGCCCCCTCCCAGGGGTGCAGGTCCCATCCGGATACCTTTCTCACTTTCTTTTTCATTTTTCCTACCTGGTTACATGGAGATTTTCTTGCCCTTACAGCAGTCTGAAGTCTTCTGCCAGTGTTCAGTAGATATTCTGTGAGAATCGTTCCACATGTAGATGTATTTTTGTTGTGGATGTGGGAGAGAGCGAGCTTTGTGTCCTACCACTCTGCCATCTTGATCAGTCTCGTGTTTTCTGTTAGCAGTTAACATCCTTTCTTTTCAACTGAAAGAAGCCCCTTTAACATTTTTCTAAGGCCAGTTTAGTGGTGATGAACTCTGTTCGTTTTTCTTATCTGGAAAACTCTTTTATCTCTCCTTCAATTCCGGACGATAACTGCCAGGTAGAGTGTTCGTTGGAAGGTTTTTGCTTTTGGCACTTTGAATATACAGTGCCCCCCGCTCCTGGCCTACAAACCCGCTGATAGTCTCACGGGAGTTACCTGGTGTGTAACAAGTTGTTTTTCTCTTGCTGCTTTTAAGCGTCTCTCCTTGTCTTTAACTTTTGACCTTTTAATTATAATGTGTCTTGGTGTGGGCCTCTGGGCTCATCTTATTTGGAATTCTGTTTTGATGTGGCCGGTTTCTCTTTTGCCCTATGTGAAGGGGTCATTCAGCTAGTTTTCAGTTTTAGTTTTTGTATTTTTCCCCCCAGAGGAAATTGTTCCATATGTAGCTGTAGATTTGGTGTGTCCTTGGGAGGAGGATCTTCCTCCCAAGAAGATCTTTCCAAGGAAGATCTTCCCAAGGAAGATCTTCAGGATCTTCCTCCATCACCATCTTGAACTGGAACCTAGGTTGAGTTTTTGTTTTGTTGCATTTAGCCTACATATATCCAATAGCTACAGCATCATTTGTTGAAAATATTATATTCCTTTACTGAATTGCTTTTGCATCTTTATAAAAAATCGGTTGGTCATAATTGTACGGATCTATTTCTGGGTTCTCAATTCTGTTCCATTGATTTCTGTGTCTGTCCCTTCACCAATACTACAAAGTCTTGATTACCGTAGCTATATAATCAAAGTCAGGCCACTTTATTCTTTTTCAAAATTGTTTTTGTTGTTCTAGATCCTTGGCCTTTTCATATAAATTTTACAATATGCTGTATGTATCTACAAAACATCATTCTAGAATGTTGATAGAAATTATGCTAAACCTATGTATCATTTGGAGAGAACTATTTGAGCCTTCCGATCCATGAATATGGTATGTTTCTCCACTTATTTAGATTTTTAAAAATTTCTTTCATCAGCATATTCAGTATACAAGTCCTGTACGTATTTGGTAGATTTATATCTAAGTATTTTATTTTTTGAGTGATTTTTAAATGGTTCTGTATTTTTTAATTTCAGTTTCCAACTGTGCATTGCTTGTATATAGAAATATAATTGATTTTTCTATGTTGATTCTACAGCCTTGCTAAACTCACTTATTGGTTTGAGGAGTTCTGTTCGTTTGATTGATTGTTTTTTGTAGATTCCTTGGGATTTTCTACACTGACCAAGATGTCATCTGCAAATAGCAATAGTTTAATTCCTTCCTTTACAGTCTGTATATCTTCATTTCCTTAGTGTGCTAGCTAAGACTTGAAGTACTATTTTATGTAAGAGTTGTCACATCCTTGCTTTGTTTCTGGTCTTTGGTGGAAGGCAGTCTCTCCCCATTACGTGTAGGTTTTTTGTAGATGTCCTTTATCAACTTGAGGAAGTTCCACTTTATTCCTTATTCGCTGAGAGTTTCCTAATTTGCTGGCTCACACAGTTCACAAAAATCAATCCCAGACAGAGTAAAAGCTTATTTGAAATGATTATGGACCCACAATAAGTTGCAGAAATCATAGAGAGGTTCCAGGTACCCCAACACCCTGTCTCCCCCAGTGGAGACATCTGACATATTGATGGATGCAGTACAGTTAACTAGACCACCGTTGTCTGTTCTTACTCAGGTTTCACCAGAAATACCTTGTTGTTCATTTTATTTTTCAGATTCCACACATAAGTGAGAACATACAGTATTTATCTTCCTCTGTTTGACTTATTTTACTAAGTTTAATACCTTCCAAGGTCCATCCATGTTGTTGCAAATGGCAAAATTTCATCCTCTTTAATGGCAGAGCAATATTCCACTTTATCTATATATCGCGTCTTCTTTATCCATTCTTCTGCTGATGGGCACTTAGGTTGCTTACATATCTTGGCTGTTGTAAATTGCGGTGCATATATCTTTTCAAAGTATTGTTTTCATTTTCTTTCGATACATACCCAGGAGTGGAATTGTTGGATCATATGGTAGTTCTATTTTTAATTTGTTGAGGAATCTCCATACTGTTTTCCATAGTGGCTGCACCAGTTTACATTCCCACCAAGAGTGTAGGAGGGTTCCCTTTTCTTCACATCCTCACCAACACTTTATTTCTTGTCTTTTTGATGATAGCCATTCTGTGAGGTGATACGTCATTGTGGTTTTGATTTACATTTCCCTAATAATTAGTAATATTGAACATCTTTTCATGTACCTGTTTGCCATCTGTATGTCTTCTTTGGAAAAATGCCTATTCAGGTCTTCTGCCCATTTATTAATTGGGTTGTTTGTTTTTTTAACACTGAGTTGTAGGAGTTCTTTATATATTTTAGATATTAACCCCATATCACATATCATGTGCCAATGTTCTCTCATTCAGTAGGTTGCCTTTACATTTTGTTGACGGTTTCCTTTGCGGTGCAAAAGCTTTTAAGTTTGATTAGGTCCCATTTGATTATTTTTGCTTTTGTTTCCCTTGCCTGAGGAGACAGATCCAAAAAATTATTGCTAAGACCAGTGTCAAAGAACGTATTGCCTATGTTTTCTTCTAAGAGTTTTACAGTTTCAGGTCTTATATTTAGGTCTGTAATCCGTTTTGAGTTTATTTTATATATGGTATGAGAAAATGTTCTAATTTCATTCTTTGACACGTAGTTGTCTAGTTTTCCCAGCACCACTTATGGAAGAGACTGTCTTTGCCTCGTTGTATGTTCTCACCTTTCTTGTAGAAGAAAAATCTATTTTTAAAAAGTTGAATTGTAAAGATTTTAGATAGTACTATAGGAGGACATATTCATGACCTCAGAATAAAGAAAGACTTCTTGAGTAAGACAGAAGTAGAAAAAATAAAGGAAAAAAATGACAGGTTTGGCTATATTAAAATTAGTAACTTCTGTTCACCCAGAGACCATGAAAATTGCGAAAAGAAAAGCCGCAAACTGAGAAAAAGGTATTTGCAATGTATGGAGCTAGTATTCTGAGAGTACAGAAACGCCTGTGAATGAATGAGAAAACAGTAAAAACATCCCAGTGGAAGAATGGGCAGAAGACTTGAACAGGGACCCCTCCCAAAGGGGAACCACCCCCACCCCAACACACAGACTCAGGGTGGGATGCACAGGCTCCGTGCGGATTCACTGGGTTCAGGAAGGTGGAGGAACCTGAGCCCAACACAGCGGGTGGCTCAAAGGTCGGGGTGGGGGTGGGGGACGCAGAGTCGGTGGGAGGGGCGGGTCGGTAGGGGAGGGGGAGGAGACAGAGATGGGGCGGGGGCAGCGGGACACAAGCAAGCCCAGGCCAGTGCCAGCGTTTCCACCACCAGTGGCCCTGGGAAAGTGCCGAGCTCCGTGGCGGGCAGAGCGGCAGTGGTGTGGGGCCCCTCTTTTTTCTTGCAGGGTCCCACGGGCAGAGCCCGGCTCCTACAAGGCGCTCTACAACTCGCAGCTGCGCTTCCGCCACCGCCTCTACGCCGACCTGGAGACCGTCCCGTACCACGTGCACCTGTCCGGGCCGCTGGCGCAGCTGGTGAAGCACGCGGTGCTCTACGTGCGCAACACGGTGCCGCGGCAGGTCTTTCAGGCACTGAGCAGGTGCGGCCCGGCCCGTGCCCCGCCGTACCGCACGCTCTGCCAGGGGGGCTTCGGAAGTGTGCGGCGGACAGAGGGCAGCCTAACCCGAACCACAGCTGTGCCTGCTGAATGTGTTTTTAAAAGGGGGGGGTTGGGGCGGGAGAGAGGGGGGTGTCCGCTCACCCTGGTGGGGGTGGGGGTGACTACTCAGTCCTCGAACTGCGCTGACATGAGGCTCTGTGCCTCGTACCCTCTGCCTGGGCGGGAAGGAGCTCTGTGGTCCACACCCCCGACGGCCAGCCTATCGAGGCCACTCCCTGGTGGGGCGTGGGTTGGTGCGAGGTAGGGAATAAGGCCATCGGGACCGAAAAATAATCAGAGCAGAAAGTGGGAAGCCTTTACCTGCGGGGGGGGGGGGGCTGAGAGGGGAGAGGGAAGGGGACATCTCCCCCCACCCGAACCCCGTGGGCTCAGCACGTGGCATCTAAGCTTCTCGTGCAGGAGCTGGGTGACCCGGGATCAGCTCATCAACCTCTCTGTGTTTTCGTTTCCTCTCATAAAATGGAGACCGTCTGACCTGTCATGCCAGGCAGGCAGGCTGAGTGGGCCTCTTCTGTGTTCCAGGATCTACTGTATCTGCCATTACAGCTCCAGGCTCAGGGAGGTGATCACCGGGGACCTGCTGCCCTCCTCCTCCATGATCAAGGGGCTGAGCCAGGAGTTTGGGTTGCCCATTTCCCAGGAAGATCTTACAGAGGGAAAACTGCTGGCTATGTCCCCTCCTCCTGCCCCCAATCTGGAGGACTTCCAGAGCCGGAATTCCACCCTGGATTCTGAGATCCAGGCCCACCAGGAGAAGTACCTGCAGTGGCAGAACACCATGATCCTGAAGAACAGAGACCAGAAGTACAGCCCGATCCAGGTAGGCGCTCCCACCCCCAGGCATCCCAGGCCTCCTGCGGCCTGTGTCTGTTTTCCTGGGCAGGGATCCCAGGCGGGATGGGCAGGAAGTGCTGCCTGCAGGGCACAACTGTGCCAGGAGCTTTGCCTCCCAACCCTGGAGTATCTTGTCCTTCCTGAAAGGTGAAGAGGAACTCTCTTATGTGTAATTCCTTTCCTTTGGCCCTGGAGTTCATCTTAGAGAAAGAACTGTGTGTGTGTGTTAACATTTCGCTTAAGCTGCTGAGGGCATGGAAGCTATATGATGTCCAAGCAACACAGGAGACAAACTAACCTGTGTGAGAAAATGTGCGTAGAGGGGAAGAGAACAGGAGACTGAGAAGCTGGTGAGGTGACGGAAGGTCAGGTGCATGTGGCCTGAATGGCCAAGGGCCTCCCTCAGCCCATACCAACCAAAAAGGCTTAAAAATGCCAACATCTGAGGTGTGCCTTGAACTCGTAGTGTGTATGAGTGAAGCCCACCCATGGGCTGTGTGGGTGAAGCCACTGCCTGGCCCTCCCACCCCAATCTCTAGTAAAAGTCATCTTAGAAGTCTCTAAGTTTTATATATGTGCCGCCTTTGTGAAAATCGACAAGGAGGTGGTGGGGTTTTTCCGTCAGTGTTCAAGTTTTTAGCTTTCTCAAAAGAACCAGTTCTTTGATTTATCAATCAGTCTACCTGTTCTGTTTTCCTAATTCATTAACTTCAACTTTTACAATTTTATTTATTTATTTTGGCTGTGTTGAGTCTTCGTTGCTGTGTGGGCTTTCTCTAGTTGTGGCGAGTGGAGGCTACTCTTCCTTGTGGTGCGCGGGCTTCTCATTGCGGTGGCTTCTCTTGTTGCAGAGCATGGGCTCTAGGTGCGTGGGCTTCAGTAGTTGTGGCGTGTGGGCTCAGTAGTTGTAGCTCACGGGCTCTAGAGCGCAGGCTCAGTAGTTGTGGCTCGCGGGCTCTAGAGCGCAGGCTCAGTAGTTGTGGCGCACGGGCTTAGTTGCTCTGCGGCACGTGGGATCTTCCTGGACCAGGGCTGGAACCCACGTCCCCTGCGTTGGCAGGCGGATTCTAAACTACTGTGCCACCAGGGAAGCCCCAGAAGTAGAATTTTTTTTCAATCTTTAAAAAAAAATATATATATATATATATTTATTTATGGCTGCGTTGGGTCTTCGCTGCTGCACGTGGGCTTTCTCTAGTTGCGGCGAGCAGGCGCTACTCTTCGTTTCGGTGCGTGGGCTTCTCATTGCGGTGGCCTGTCTTGTTGTGGAGCACAGGCTCTAGGCGTGTGGGCTCAGTAGTTGTGGCTCGCAGGCTGTAGAGCTCAGGCTCAGTAGTTGTGGCACACAGGCTTAGTTGCTCCGTGGCACGTGGGATCTTCCTGGACCAGGGCTCGAGCCCGTGTCCCCTGCATTGGCAGGTGGATTCTTAACCACTGCGCCACCAGGGAAGCCCCAGAAGTAGAATTTTTGGGTCATTTAGTAAGTTTATGTTTAACATTTTAAGAAACCGTCAAGCAGTTTTTCACCGTAGTTCCATCATTTTATGTCACCAAACGCAATGCACGAGGGTTCCAGTTTCTCCACATCCTCACAAATGCTGGTCGCTGTCAATTTTTTTTTCTTTTTTTTGCGGTATGCAGCCGTCTCACTGTTGTGGCCTCTCCCGTTACGGAGCACAGACTCCAGACAAGCAGGCTAAGAGGCCATGGCTCACGGGCCCAGCCGCTCCACGGCACGTGGGATCTTCCCGGATTGGGGCACGAACCCGTGTCCCCTGCATCGGCAGGCAGACTCTCAACCACTGCGCCACCAGGGAAGCCCAGCGCGTGTTTTATATATGTGTTTATAGGTATTTTTCTGTGTATGTGTTCATGTGAACCGCCTAACTTATATCTCCTACCCCACTTTCTTTTTGGTAACCCTAGGTTTATTGAGAAAGTCGGTGACTCTTTCTGTTTAGTAAACTAGTTCAGTTGTATGTATGTTTCCCTTCCTCCTATAAGTGATAGTATATGCTAGGGGTCCTCCTCTGTCTGACTGACTTCACTCAGTGTTTGGGCATCCCAGGTCCATCCATGTTGCTTGTAATGGCATTCTTTCATCCTTTATCCTGGCTGAGTAAACAGTCCCTTGTATACACGTAGGACCTGCTGTTTATGTATTCACACTTGCTGGACTATTTGTTTCTGTGTCTTGGCGATTGTAAGTAGTGCCGCAGTGAACGTTGGGGTGCTTGTGTCTTTTTAAATTATGCATTTTCCCGAGTAATGCCCAGGAGTGGGCCTGCAGAAGTATAGGGTCGCTCTCTCTTTAGTTTTCTAGGAACTGGGATACAGTGCTTTCTAGTGGCGGTCATCAATGTACATTTCCACTCACCGAGTTGGAAGTTTCCCTTTTCTCCACACTCATTCCCCATCGATTGTTTGTAGACTTTTTGACGCTGGCCATACTGCCTGCTGCGAGATGATGCCACTTTGTAATTTTGATATGCACTTCTCGGATAATCAGCGACTTTCTGCTTCCTGTCGTGGTCGGGGTTTTTTTTTTTTTTTAAACAGTGTGAGTAAACTTTCCCTCCTGAAATTTGGCTTCTTGAAAGTCTGTGTTTTTCGAACGTTTTTTCGGTTACCTAACCCAGGTCATTTTTGAGGACACGTGTTATTAAAAGCCCCACAGGCTTTGTGAATATTAGGTGCCCTGAAGCACCGGTTGGAAAGTTGTTGTTCCGGGAAACGCCCACAAGGCGGCAGCATTTCTTCGTGGCCAGCTCTAGTTCGTTGGCAACCAAAAGCTGTAGGAAGAGTCATCTTACTAGGCTGTGAATTAGAGCGGAAGGTGCAAGAGACAACCACCAAGGGCTTGTGTGTCTCTACCTCTTCCGTGTGAAGCTTCACGCCCCCGAAAATTCCGAACCCTGGCTAAAGCCGCGGGTGCTGCGGTGTGTAGGTGGGGTGACTCCTGGCAAGGAGGCCGGATGTGGGAAGCCCACCAGCAGCAGCCGTGGAGGCTTGGGCACGTGTTGAATCTCCTGCAGCCTAGGTGGTCCCCCATGGTTGGGGTGCACTTGGCTTCCTTTTAGCTCTAGGAAGGCCCACCAAGGTTCTGAAGGTTTGGTTCCCCCCAGAAAGGAAGAGGCACGACAGCTTTAAGGGGCTGCATTTGCAGGCACATCGTCCTCAGGTGTCTCCGCTCCACCTCAGTGCACCCTTGAGACCGCAGGCTGCTGAGGCTGCTGGGATGTGACACCAGCGCATATCACCGAGGCGGGAGGCGAAAAGTCTACCCATGTCTTTCCTTTTGCGTTCTTTTTCAGTTTAATTCTTATGGTATGTTGCAGTAGGGGTAATTTACAGTGTGGTGTTTGGTGTCGGTGTACATTAACCTGATTCACTTATTGATATTCATGTATCTATTCTATTTCGAATTCTTTTCACATATAGGTTATTGCAGAATGTTGAACAGAGTTCCCTTTGCTTTACAGGAGGTCCATGTTGATTCTCCATCAAATGTATATACATATATACACACATAGACATATGCACATATATATACACACATATATATACATACTTGTGTGTATATGAAGGTCGACCTCCTAATTTATCCTTTGCCTGTACTTTTTTTTTTTTGTGAGCCCTACGTTCGTTTTCCAAGTAAGTGTGTTGCTGTTTTGTAACACTGTGTGTTACACAGTGTTCATGCTGTGTTCATGTGTATCTATTGTTCAGTCCTAGGGATAAGTGATACCATATGCTATTCGTCTTCCTCCGTGTGACTCACTTCACTTACTGTATGAGTATCCCAGGTCCATGCATGGTGCTGCCAATAGCATTATTTCATTGTTGTTTACGGCTGAGTAATATAGTCCATTGTATATATGTACCATATTGTCTGTATCCAGTCATCTGTCAGTGGACATTTTGCTTGTTTCTGTGTCCTGGCTGTTGGAACTATAACCGTGGGGCGCCTGGTTCATTTCCAATTATGGGTTTCTCCAGATACATGCCCAGGAGTGCTCCTGGGGCTGGGCTCCTTTTACTTTTGTTAGGAACTTTGATACTGTCCTTTATGGTGGCTTTTACCAATGTACATTCCCACGAAAATACAGGAGGGTTCAACTTTTTCGGTCCTCGAATTTCAATGTCAACAGTGAGGGCTTGTCTCGATGGCCCTTTTGCCAGGGGTCTGTTTATGCTCTGAGGACAGATACGTGCAGTGCAGCCGTGTCCCAGAGATCAGCTGGCTGGATCCACACTGACAGTCGCTGGCGAGCAGGTCACTTGTGAGGAATGACTGGTGTCTCTTTCTCCAGAAACACATCTCAGGGGCCTACGAGGTCAGCAGGAAGTCTCCCAAGTCTGTCGTGAAGGTGACCAAGATCTCAGCCCCGGCCAAGGATGCTGTCTACAACTATAGTATCCAGACCCTGAACTCTACAGAGCTTGCAAAGGAGGAGCTGTGTCGAGAGATGGCCAAGGTGAGTTAAGGCCCAGGGTGGGGAGCTCCAGCCACGCACCTCCACTCCAGGCAGGGCAGTGGGGGGTGTCCGGAGTGGGGAGTAGCGCTGGCACAGAGAGGCGTGAACCCTGTACCTGCCAAGTTGAGCCCAGAGGCTCCCAGCGCCTGTCCAGGTGTGCATGGCTGTGAACGGCCGCAGGTTCTGGGCTCTTGGTAACCCTTCATTGCTGCCTAGGAAAGGCAGCCTAACCCCAGCGGGGAAAGCCTGGGCTTAGGCTTCCTTCCAGCCCTGACCACTTCAGGAAAGGGCTCTGTCAAAGGGGACAGGGACGTGGCCCTCACTGGGCTGCTGCCTGGCTCTGGTAACCAGCATGCACCCCGCACCGCCAGGAGCCAGCATCCTGCCCCCAAGACTGGCAGCCGGTCAGCCCCACCGAGGTCCGCTGTCAGCCCATCTATCCACGTCTGCTCGCATTTCCAGGAGCCGAGAAAGAGACTCACGTACTCCCAGAGCTACCTGTCAGCCACAGTGGAGCCTCAGGATTCAGATGAGGAGAAGAGAAAAGCCAAGAGGAAGTCCCGTGACGCCTGGCTCACACCCAACGGGTTCCAAGTGACCGGTCTTCACAGCACGGGGAGGACACATCACCTGGGGCTGCCACCCCTCGGCGCCGTCACAGAGGTGGGTGGCGGGAGTGGGTCTCCACAGCACGGGGAGGACACATCACCTGGGGCTGCCACCCCTCGGCGCCGTCACAGAGGTGGGTGGCGGGAGTGGGTCTCCGGTGGGCGTCCGCAGGGGCCTCCCCCTGACCTGCTGCCCCCCAATGTAGGAGTGGAGGGAGAAAGCACTGTTTGCTAACATACTGGAGCCGGTGCTGCACCGAGAGAGCTGGGGCTGGGACCGGCGCCCCCAGGACTTTGATGTGTACACACAGCCACCGCCGTTCTTGGAGCTGCCGGCCCCTCCCGCGCCAAAGCCCAGGACAGGTAACTAACTGTGGGCGGCAGCTGTTCTGTTTTAGCAGCCACACTCCTGGGCTGGGAAATCAGGATTCGGCGGGGGGCCGGCTTCAGAGCGCAGGCTGGCCGGAACTGCTGGTTCCAGCTGGATTCACTTGCTGTGTGACGGGGTGGCAGGTCCTGCCACCGCTCTGGGCTTGGTTTCTATGAAAGGGAGGCGTTCGAAGGTAGGGCTAAGGGCTTTCAGGCTTCACACTGTGTTACCCATGACCAGCCTCGGCAGGCTCTGGGCGCTGCTGGGCCCTTCCGGCTCCCAGACACAGCCGGTTGTCACCCGTGGGGGCGGGCGGGGGCCTGGCCACACCACCCCTCCAAGTCCTCTTCATCCCCCGTTTGTGAAGAGGGACCAGAAATCATTTATAGGTAGAGAACCAAACCTGTGAATTAATAGAACCAGAATCTTCAGGGAGAAAGAGCGGTGAGTTGATCTGGCCACAGACCCCTTGCCCAGAAAGAGACCCCTTGCCCAGAAAGCTAGACTGGATAAACGGTGGAGTGCTTTCCTTCCCTGACTCCTAAGGGCTGCTGGTAACAGCTCCGTGAAACCGGAGGACGTGCTGACAAGCTGCTGAAACTGGTCTACTCCCCTCCTCTGGACTGTGCCACCTCCCTTCAGTAGAGGCCCCAGGCTCTGGGGCCGCAGGCAGGGTCCCAGGCTCAGGGTCACTGCTGTGGTCCAGTGCAGGGACAGCAGGCTCGCTGCTCCGGCCCTTCCCAGCCCCAGGGTGCACACCTGAAGTCACATGGGTGAGAACAGCTCCCTGCAGACTGCTCTCCTGGCACCAGGTGAGAAGCCATGACCTCTCCATCTACGCCAGCAAAGAAGCTGCAGTGTCATCGGGAAGATGAGCTGTCACAACGCCGGCAGCAGGCCTATCCCCGCAGGTGGATGACGGCTCCTCCTCCCAGAACCAAAGCCTGGCCGCCTCAAGGCAACGCCTGTGATGGGCAAAGCACTGGGAACCGCCCGAGCGGGAAGCCTGCCAGGTGAGCACACCAGGGCAGGTGTGTAGAGGCCCGTCTGTGCCGCCAGAAGATGCTGCTCGTCCTTGTCAAGGGGCAGAGAAGCACCAGCTAGGAGCAGCACCTGCTGTCAGGCAGCAGCAACATCACCTGCGCAGGACCAAACCCGCACGGCGCCGTGGCCCGGGCACCTGCCCCTCTGCTCCTGGAGCCCTCTTCTCACACATGAGGACAAAGGGCCCTGGAAGCCACCACCACAGGGGGGAGCGCGGGGTCAAGAGGTTGTGAGGCTGGCTCTGAGGAAACAGGTGACCAGTGCAGCAAACAAACACTAGAAGGGGAAACGCAAACTGTCCTCTTCCTTTGGCTCCTAGCTTAAAGAATGACACATGCGCGGTTTTCAAGCTGTTTCTTGGAGAACGTGTGGTCTGGCAGAAATGGCGACCCGGCCCTACCACCCCAGGCCAGCTTCCACCCCGAAGCCTCCCGGTCAGGCGAGTCTCAGCAGCTCCGCGCTCTCCCCGTGTCGGCTCAGAGCCCGGGATCGTGTCAGGCAACAGTGCCCACGGGGGCCTGGAGAAAGCCCGTCAGAGAACTTGGTCAGCTTCTAATAAAGCAAGTTCTCTACCTTCTGGAAGGCGTGTGTCAGGCGGACAGCAGCAGGGATGCTGTCCCCCCGTTTCAGGATGTCCGGTCCAGAGGGTGGGCACAGACGTAGGCTCGCTTCTCTAGGACCTGCTGGGACACTTTCTTGATCAGTTCATCAAGATTTTCCGGAGAATCTGGGAGGGAAAGAGGAAGAGTAGGTGATCTTTGGAAAAAAATGTTCCAGCAATTCCTGTTACCACGAAGTCAGCCCTCTGGTGTGAAGGAGCCCTGAAGGTGGCAGCCCGTCCCCAGGAAGTGATTCTGGGCTGCCCCCTGGCGACCCCACCTGCTGGAGAAGCCATTTCGTCATCCCCACTGCAGGCGGTGACAGCCACGTCAGCACGGTGGGTGTGGGGTGCCAGTGCTCAGAGCTGCGTGGAGTCCTGCGCTCCTCCCTCCGCTGGTCAGCTGGGTACAGGGGTCCCCCCAAGAGGCTCTCACCTGGCATCAGGTCCCACCCCCCCCCCCCTTCTCCCCCAACCTGAGCCGTCCACTTACACTTGTCCAGTTGAGATAGAGCGAAGAGATTCTGGTAGTAAGCTTCCGTGCAGAAGATGTTGGCCAACAGAACCTGCCAGAACCGAGAGGATGACTGCTGAGGACCCTGGGATCGCTGGGCCTTAGGGCCGCCCTGCCTGGAGCCTGACCTCTGAGCTTCGAAGAACTCAGTCTGTCAGCCAAAGTGGGCAGCTTGACCAGGGTCAGGTGGCCTGGCTCAGAAGCCATGGCAGCCGTGAGCCAAACCAGCCCTGTCCCCAGGGTGACTCAATCCCTGCAGCCACGGTGCACGTCAAGACTGAGGGCGTGCGCACAGCAGGTGCTCAGACGGCACCCACCCTGCTGGCACGTGGGGGGAGGGCGCTGTGTTTCGGATTCGACACTCACTCCCCTCCCCGCCCGCAGGCAGGAAGGTGAAGGGCAGTGGCCCTGTGTCCTGAACAGCACAGACCCGCCCCTGGGAGCTGAGGGCACCAGCTATGGCCACGGACACAACTTGGCAACCCCACCCATTTCTGGGTCAGCTGGCATGGACCCCGTGCTCACCCTGACCCCCGGGACACAGCCCTGGACGCGCCCAGCCCCTCCCTTCCCCACTACCCAGCCTCATTAAAGTGCAGCAGGAGGACCCCTGCAGGGAGGCTTCCTGTGCGGGCGGGAGGGGCAGGCCCACCTCATGGTCGTGGTTCTGGAGCCCCACGCGGATAGAGCGGCTGGCCCGCGACAGCACGGCCGTCATCCCGTACAGGTTGATGAGGATGTTGGCCACTCGCTTCAAGACCAACTGCTCCTCCACGATGGTCTGGGAACAGAGGGCAGGGTGGAGACTGGCCACCTGGACATGACTCCAACACACTCTCCCAGGCCCACCTTTGCTCATCTCTGAGCCTCTCTCTACACCCTGGGGGAGCAGGGCTAACACTGCCTTCCCTTCGGGTTTTCCCTTAGCTCTGTCCAGATCTGGGCAGGAGTCAAGACAAGATCATGTCCCAGAAGCCTGGCTCAGACCACCGGCCGGCACTTATTATCACCTTTGGATGCAAGAGACACAGATCAGGTCCTAAGAGTAAGGTCCAGGTGGGGCTGCCCCTCCCGGCTCCAGGGAGCCTCTGGTCACCTAGAAGGTGCCCACCCAGCAGGGGCTCCCCCCACGCTCCCCAGCTAGCTGAGTGGTCCCCAGGGCCACAGCCAGCCCTGCTTCCCCAGCCCTCCAAGGTGACCAAGATTTCTAGGCCTGGTCCCCACGCTTGGCAAAAATGTCATCTCACAGATGCTGGCCCGCTTCGCTGCCCCCAGGTACCTTGCCAAAGCGAAGCAGCAGGGTCTCCACGGTGCGGCTGAAGTCGTGCACATTCTGCTCGAGCTTGTGGGCACTGTCCTGGGGAGCCGGGGGGACGATTCTGCTCAGCACCGCACTCGCGTGGTGCCCAGGCCCTGCTGCCAGGCTTGGCTGTTCTCCACCGTGACAGGGTGGAGAAGGCATCTGGTGGCCCTCGGACTGCCTGGTCCTCCCCGGTGCCCCCGCCACGCCCCCTCTGGGAAGGGGATACCCCTGGCTGGACCCACTCACCTCCATGCTGGGGTGCACGGCTCCGAGCTTCCCTGTCAGCCCAAGGTCCACAGTTCGGCCCAGGGAGTCCCGAACCCTCTGGCTGACAGTCTCCATGATGGTGGTCACATTGCCCTGTTTAAGCTGCCTGCAGAGAACCCAGGCTCTGTAAGCTGAGGCCCTGCAGCCGGCTCCTGCTGCCCAGCAACACGGCCCCGCCTCCATGCCAGCAGCTCTAGGGAACCCGGGCAAAAGCTCCCTGACTATGCAAAGCCAGAGGGGCCAACCCAGGACCTTGACAGTTCGTCAGGGAGCAGCCGTCTCCTCTACAGCCCGAGGGGACACCCGGGTCACACCTGCTTCCAGGTCATTCTCTCCCCGAGTAGCCTGAAAAATCCTCCGGGCCAGCCACGCCTGGGCGCCGGCAGGGACTACTCACTGCCCTGGCCGCAGGATGGGGGTCAGGAGAGGAAACTAGTCTTGTGTTGGCCTTGGAGCTGGCACCCCTCCTCGCCCCGGTTCTAGACGGGAGCTGCAGGGGAGGAGGGCAGGGCCCTGGCGGCTTCTCAGGCAGCTGGCCCCTCCCTGTCCCCTCCCTCCAGCCAGCCTGTGAGTCAACTGAGCCCTGCCAGGCTGCACGCCTGGTCTACGGATGAGGCAGCACCCTTCTCTGTCTGCCCCGGAATAGGCCTCTGCTGGGCAGGGTGGACCCGAGGGGCAGACGGTGGACGCGGTACCTACTTGACCCTTGCAGTCAGGATGCGGCCGGCATGCTGCAAGCCTGTCAGGGCGATGTACATTCGGAGAATCTCGTTGGTTCCCTGTGGCCAACATTATCCAGGTCAAAGGCTGCCCACGTCAGGGCAGCCCTAGCAGTGCCGCGTGTGTGACTGGCTAGGCCCTGCTGCATCCCGCTCACTCTTCAGAAGCAGCTGGGAGCAGGGTTGTGACCGGGGGCCAGGGCAACACGTGGGCTACTGCTTCCACGGGACAAGTTGGGGCTGACCAGGTGGCGGCGGCCTCCCTCTGGGACCTACCCCATCCCATGACCAACTGTGCATGAGTCATTCCTTTTTCCAAGCTTCTGATTTTACTTCTTTTAAGCAGAGAAACAGCCCCCTTAAAGGAAGTGAAGGGTACTAGTACCCAGGACACAAGTCCTTAGTGGGCCCACTACTAGCTCGGTCCAGGCCCGGCTCCTCGGGAAGCAGCTGGCCGCACCGCAGTGCCAGGTGCCAACACCCCGGGGGCTACCTCTTCCCTGCTGCCACCCCCGGGCACCCCCCCCCCAACCGTGAGCCACGTGACCTCGGGGACACAGACCAGGGGGCTTGTGCCCGTCGTGCACAGTGGTGCTGAGAGTCAGAGAGGCAGGGGCTGGACTGGGGCACACCGCCAGGCCGCGCCACGGACGGAGACTCCATGGGAGCGGAAGTGGCAGCAGGGAGAACTCCAGGCTGACCCAGGCCCGTCCCGGGTGGTCTTGGCTTCACGCTGAGGGCCCTGCACCCCTCAGAGCCCCTGAACCTGTGCTGACCACCCCACCAGCCACGGAGGACCGCACTCGCCCGGGGCCAAGGGGAAGGGCCTTGGGAGAGGCAGGCCTGGGGCAGCAGGGTCGCGAGGTGGGACCTGTCCCTGGGGCCTTGGGCTGGCCGCGCCCTGTCCACTAAGGGAGAGGACACAGGGGACACCAGCAGCCAATGTGGTCTTTCCCCTGGAGGGGGAGCCCCCCAGGCGCCCAGCCTCGCACTGGTCCCAGGGTCTGTCTCCGCACACCTGTGTCCAGCCTGAAATCCTGGCCGGCCCCCCTCCACAGCCGCTGGCCGCACCGCTGCCACCTACGCCCTGGGCAGGCTTGGGGCATTTCCAGGGTCGCAAACGCAAGCAAGCCATTCCCTGCTCCAAACTTTGTTACTGCTTCCCGGCCCTCACAGTACGATCCAAATAGGCTTCCATGGCTGGCTACTCTCTGGCCTTCCCGCCCAGCCCCTCTGCCCTGCCCACCCTGCCCCACCAATACCCCAGCCCCGCCGAGCAAGACCGGCCGCTGCTCCCTCCGTTTACCTGGTGCCAGCAGGTAAGGTCCTGTCAGGACCTGGCACACTCCACTCCCCTGCCCTCTCTGCCCCCAAGGCCAAGTGCGCTGCTTCCTGAGACCCCAGCCCCTCACCACACTGGTGTTCTGGAGTCGTCCTCTCTCAGCCAGGCTGCGCGACCAGACCAGTAGCGCCCCAAAGGCGACTCTGGGGTCCCAATGCCCTTTCCTCCCTGCTCCCAGCCTCTGAACTCCCAACATCAGAGTCGCCAGGGAGTGCCCTTGGGGTGACCCTGCCAGCTGCCTCATCACCTGGAATGGGCACTGGAGGCTGCACCCCGGCCTCCCAGGCGGAGACCTGCGGGCAGTCGAGCGAGAGGACGCGCCAGCCGGCCCGGGCTCTGCGGCCTGGCGCCAGGACCACAAGGCTCTGGGGTCCACAGCAGAGCGGGGCGGGGCCGAGAGCCCGGCGGGCGGCGCACTCACCTCGAAGATGAGCAGGATGCGGCTGTCGCGCAGGATGCGCTCGTACGGGTAGTCCCTCATGTAGCCTGAGCCCCCGAGGACCTGGAGCGCCTCGCTCACACACTGCCAGGCGGCCTCGGAGCTGAACACCTGCCGTGGACCCGGGGCGAGGTCAGCACAGGGCTGTCAGCCCCAAAGCCCCTTCAGGAGGAGGACCCTCTGCCTCGGGGCCAGGTGGCTGCGGACGGGGTGGGAGGCTGCACGCGGAGGACTGGGCTTTGGGATGAGACGACCCAGGTAGGAGCCCTGACTGTCACGTCTCACTGGTGGCCAAAAACTGACCCCCCTCCCCAAAACAAGACAGAAGCACAGGGAACTCTGTGCTATTTACCTCAACCAGCTAGTTCATGAAAGGAAGTTTTGATACCAAAATGCAGGAAGACCACAGACTCAGGACAGCACAGTCCTTCCCAAGGAAGCCCAGCTGCTTTGTTAGGAAGGCAGGAAGTTGCGATACACAGTGTGCATCCTCTTCTTTTGCTGTCATCACCAGCAGCTTGCTGGGAGACAATGGCTTCTCGTAAGCTGGACGCTGCCCTCTGCCGCCGCTCCTACGCTACTCTGCTCTCCCCGGCTGCATCCCAGGGGTGCCTGGCACGGTGGGCACCTCGCAAATACCTAAGCAGCGACAAACTAAGGAGGAAGACGGCAGGCACGCTGTGCATGGGGTTACCTTCACCATGGCGGCCTCGATGGAGCAGTCAGGGAAGCCCGGCTGGTCCAGCATCCCCGCGGTGAGGTAGGCCATACTTTCCATCACGTAAGCCTTCTGAGCCATCAGGGCAAACTTCTCCTGGAGCGTTCAGAAAAATACACAATCAAGAAAGAATCTGCCTATACTGAGACCCAAACCTGCCGAGCAGCAGAGAAGGTAATTCAGACTAGGCCCAGTGCCCAAGAGCACCAAGGCCCGGCACCCGTAAAAGGGGCCACGTGCTCATCTTCTCCCCAAATCACCGCCTAGGAGTCGGCAGTACAGACCCCCAAGCACACTTTCAATGCCCACGAGGTAGAGTCAGCCCGTGCCGTGCTTGACCCTCCATACCTGAATCAAGCCAAACTCGCTGAGGTTCCTGTTGAACTGTTTCCTTGTGCAGGCGTACTCGGCGGTCATTTCTGAAGAGGAGCAGAGTTATCAAAGAACAATTTTCCGGCTGTCTTAAAACGATTTCCTCAGTCTATCGTCACCACCCTTCAAACGCTCAGGCAGGATCTACGAGAAGCGGGTCTGCTGAGACCGACGCCCTGAAAATGAGAGCCCTGCCTTCCAACATCTCCGGATTCTGGAGTGACTGTCCCCTCTGAGTGGCACCCAGGGTGGGGGACAGAGCAGGATCAGGAGCCAGTCAGACACGTCTGGACCCAACTCTCGCTCTTAGCAGCCGAGCCTGGGCCACGTGGTCTCCGTGCCCTCATCAACACTATTGACCTCAGAGACACAGCAAAGGCCACGGGACGCCCTGCACAGAGAAGCAGGCTCACACCCGGCACATGTGTCCATCTGGCAGCAGGAGGGTGGCCCGTGGCTTCCGCGCCAGCCCTGTGACCACAGCGGACCCCCTCCCTGCAGCCAGCGCTCTCCCAACACTCCCCACGGACATTCACGCGTAACCCACTCTCACAGCGGGCTCGCAGGGTAGACACGCAGGGTGGACAGGCTCCCACATTGCCCCATTTCTGGGCCTTGCGATCTCAGGGGCTCTACATCCTTTTGGGGACAGACTGACCATGAGAGCGAAGCCCTTGCATTGAGGAGTTTTCCAGACAAGGAAGCACAGTCCAGATGGGCTCAGGGCCTTGGGGGAAGCTTTGCAGAGGGAGACAAGCCCTGAGCTCACAGTCTGATCGGGGAGTGTGATCTCGGGCAAATCACTCCCCCGCTCTGAGCGTCCGTCCCTTTGTCTATAAACGAACTCTGCCCTGAACTCTGAGCAGCTTCCTGAGCACCCAGTGGGGAGCTGGCCCCGGGTACGCCCGCACCACAGCCAGGGCCCTGCGTGTCCCTGTGGTCCCTCACACAAAGCAAAGATGGCAGTGACGTTCCGTGTCCCCCAAAACCCCTATCAGGCTGTTTTAACTTCACTGGCAAAGGGAAGTCTAGGGTTCAGTGACCATAAAAGAGGAAAGGGACAATCCAAAGGCTGAGGGACCAAGGTCCCCAACCTGACCCCGCGGCTCACCCACTGTGCAGAGTCATCCACAGAGAACCAGCGCTCAGGCTTTTCGGTGTCCAGCTCACATTCAGGTGTTCACTCAGCGGGCAGAGCAGCCACCCCTCTCTACCTCCACCAGAAGGCCCCCCGCCTCCCCCATCCTGTGCGTGTTGAAACCTCAACACTAGCCCTTCAGGGGCAGCCTCAGTGCACCCTTCAGTCTAAATCGAAGCCCTGATCCTAGATTTGGACAGGACTGGCTGTCAGCGGCCTGGCTCAGCGCTGGCCCGCCCGCCCAGGGACGTGGCAGAGCCCCTGGGCCAAGCAGGCAGGGGCACCAGGGGCAAGCTGCCGCAAAGGGCTGCTGTCCCTGACTTACGTACCGATCAGTTTCTTGAGCATCCCAGCCACGGCACTGCCCATGCTGAACCGCCCGCTGTTGAGGATGTTCATGGCCACCTGCAGAGAGAGGAGGGCTCAGCGCGGGTCCAGCTGGGAAAGCTGAGGGCCTAGAGGGCTGAAGGGGACAGACCGCAACAGTGCTCATCTGGTTTTACCAAAAGCTTTCTTGAAGACAACAGGCAGCATCCAGATGGAGTTAGTCACCCTGCCAACCCTCCCTGGGCCGGGAGGGAACACAGTCCCAATGCCTCAGAACCAGGCAATCTGTCACTGAGATGCTCTCACAAACATCCCTGAAGGCACACACCGCCCCCCCCGCAAAACAAAGAAATGGGACACACTTATTCCAAAGTAAGTGGCCACTTCCCTCAGCCTCAGGGGAAGAGAGCAGAAACTAAGACTGGCTGGGTACCCACTGCCAACTCCTCACTTTCCCAGCAACGCTTCAGCGTCAGGGTCCTCCTTTCACAGATGAAGAGCCAGAGGTTCCAAGTGGTAAGCCAGTCACAGAGCACGCAGCTGCCTGACATGCAGGCCCGTGCACCCTGCACTGAGCCAGTCCCTTTCACAAACGTGACGCGCTCCTCCCCCCACAGTGCCTACAGTAATGACCCTAGCTAAGGAGTTTTGTCAGCCTCACGCCTCTCTTCCAAACCCAACTTTCTCCCTAAAGCCAATGGCAAGCACACACACTGCTTCCCAAGTACCAGACTACCCGGGTTTGGGGAGGCACCCCCTTACAGACCTAAAGGGACCTAGAGACCATAGCCACCCAGGCAGCAGGCGAGGAGGGGCATCCCAGGCACACGGTGGACGTGTGGCCACCAGCACCAGGCTCCTAGAGGACGCTGTCACCTGCCCACCTCTGCTCAAGCCTGTGAGGCCCGAGGAGGAGGCCTCAAGGCAGGGCTGGGGTCTGGGGGCAGCAAGCAGCCTGGGACTCAGCTTCACACGTGGCACTGCTTGTACCGACTGCTCGCCTGCGTGACTGGGATTAACCAAATGTGCCTCTGAGTTTGAATTTATGACTACTTGCCAAATAACCTGAATGGGGACTCTCAAAACAGATCCTGTGGGGCTGGGGAGACTGGAAACACCTGCTCCAGCCACTGGACAGGCAGCACTGGTCCTGACAGGCGAGTCCGAGGCGGGTGGGCAACTCGGTGGGCACGGCCAGAAGCTGGGGCTCGGCGAGGCCACAGTGCAGTGTGACCTGTTGTGCCTCCACTCGGGCCTGTGACCTGTAATGTCAGACTCCCTGTGTCTCAGGACATGGAGGGGGGACGAGGAGGGGGGACACCGGTCCTGCTTGACCTGCCAGGACTGCAAGCAGGAACTGAACCCCCACCCTTGGTCCCTTCTCCCAGACTGGTTCTTAAAGGCCACCTCACAGTTGCATGAACAAACTTAACGTCACAGCCCCTTCGTGGTTGATTCTCAGCTTCACTTACAACAAGAACAAGAGGAGGAGAGGACTGGACACCAGGCCCCAGTCCCCAGGAGGATGGAAGGCCTGGCCGGCTCAGCCTTACCTGAAAGGGCTCGTGAGCCTAGGCGTTCCCTCCCACCCAGGCCTGATCCTGCTGTGTGGTCACCTTCCTACCGCAGAGCAGTCCCCTCCCACAACTACACTCCAGGTACGAGACACGGCCGTCCCCGCAGCCCCCGTCGCTGACCGCCTCTGCGCCCCGATGAACCTCCTACTTGACCGCACGTGGCATCGGCATTCCCCAGGCCTGTGGTCATCCTACCCGCCATCGCTGGGATCACCCTAGCGTGTCGCGCTTTTCAGTGCTGAGGCTGACTGGCAGGCAATCCCACTCATCACAAGATAGGGCTTTAGAAATCTGTTTTTCTTTTGTATACTAAAACCATCACTTCTCACATAACACAATGGAAAAAAATTTTTAATGCAGAGTTGGAAAGGACTGGGAAAAGACCTTACACACAGTCCAACCGTCCAGCAGGCAACATGGCAACATGGACCAAGAACTTAAAAATGACCACGTCCTCTGACCCAGAAACTTGACTGGTATTTAAACTCAGGAGGTGATGAGAGAAGTGTGCAAGTTATGTATAAGGATACATGCCATGCAGTGCAGTCCCGAGTGGGGAAGAAGGGAAACTGCGCTAAATGCTCGATCCTGGAGACCCAGGGACAGTGAACGTGGCGTCACCACATGAGGAAATGCTGTGTGGTTCTGAACCTCAGCAAATCAAATTCCCTAGCATGAAAAGACTATGGGGGCTTGTTGATAAGTGAAAAATACCAGCTATCACCTCTTACACACACACACACATGCAGAAATATTTCAGTGATGTAAACTATTTAAAAAGGTCTAGAAAGACAAGCACCAAAAGTGTGAACAGTGAAGACAGCAGAAGCAAGAAGAACTGCAATCCTGTAGCCTGTGGAACAAAAACCACATTCACAGAAAGACAGACAAGATGAAAAGGCAGCGGGCTATGTACCAGATGAAGGAACAAGATAAAACCCCAGAAAAACAACTAAATGAAGTGGAGATAGGCAACCTTCCAGAAAAAGAATTCAGAATCATGATAGTGAAGATGATCCAGGACCTCGGAAAAAGAATGGAGGCAGAGATCGGGAAGATGCAAGAAATGTTGAACAAAGACCTAGAAGCATTAAAGAACAAACAAACAGAGATGAACAATACAAAAACTGAAATGAAAACTATACTAGAAGGAATCAATAGCAGAATAAGTGAGGCAGAAGAACGGATAAGTGACCTGGAAGACAGAATGGTGGAACTGATTGCTGAGGAACAGAATAAAGAAAAAAGGATGAAAAGAAATGAAGACAGCCTAAGAGACCTCTGGGACAACATTAAACGCAACAACATTCACATTCTAGGGGTCCCAGAAGAAGAAGAGAGAAAGAAAGGACCCGAGAAAATATCTGAAGACATTATAGTCGAAAACTTCCCTAACATGGGACAGGAAATAGGCACCCAAGTCCAGGAAGCTCAGAGAGTTGCATACAAGATAAACCCAAGGAGAAACATGCCGAGACACACAGTAATCAAATTGGCAAAAATTAAAGACAAAGAAAGATTACTGAAAGCAGCAAGGGAAAAATGACAAATAACATACAAGGGAACTCCCATAAGGTTAACAGCTGATTTCTCAGCAGAAACTGTACAAGCCAGAAGGGAGTGGGCATGACATATTTAAAGTGATGAAAGGGAAGAACCTACAACAAGATTACTCTACCCAGCAAGGATCTCATTCAGATTCGAGGGAGAAATCTAAAGCTTTACAGACAAGCAAAGCTCAGAGAATTCAGCACCACCGAACCAGCTCTACAACAAATGCTAAAGGAACTTCTCTAAGTGGGAAACACAAGAGAAGAAAAGGACCTACAAAAACAAACCCAGGGCTTCCCTGGTGCCGCAGTGGTTAAGAATCCGCCTGCCAATGTGGGGGACACGGGTTCGTGCCCCGGTCCAGGAGGATCCCACATGCCGCGGAGCGGTTAGGCCCGGGAGCCACAATTACTGAGCCTGTGCATCTGAAGCCTGCGCTCCACAACGGGAGAGGCTGCGACAGTGAGAGGCCCGCACACTGCGATAAAAAAAAAACCCAAAAAGCCATAACAATTAAGAAAATGGTAATGGGAACATACATATCAATAATTACCTTAAACGTGAACGGATTAAACGCTCCAACCAAAAGACACAGGCTCGCTGAATGGATACAAAAACAAGACCCATATAGATGCTGTCTACAAGAGACCCACTTCAGACCTAGGGACACATACAGACTGAAAGTGAGGGGATGGAAAAGGATATTCCATGCAAATGGAAATCAAAAGAAAGCTGGAGTAGCAATACTTGTATCAGATAAAATAGACTTTAGAATAAAGAATGTTAGAAGAGACAAGGAAGGACACTATATAATGATCAAGGGATCAATCCAAGAAGAAGATACAACAGTTGTAAATATATATGCACCCAACATAGGAGCACCTCAATACATAAGGCAACTGCTAACAACTATAAAAGAGGAAATCGACAGTAACACCATAGTGGGGGACTTGAACACCTCACTTACACCAGTGGACGGATCATCCAGACAGAAAATACGGAAACACAAGCTTTAAGTGACACAACAGACCACAGAGATTTAACTGGTATTTATAGGACATTCCGTTCAAAAACGGCAGATTTCACTTTCTTCTCCAGTGCACACAGAACATTCTCCAGGATCGATCACATCTTGGGTCACAGATCAAGCCTCAGTAAATTTAAGAAAACTGAAATCATATCAAGCATGTTCTCTATGCTTGTTCTCAACGCTATGACATTAGAAATAAATTACACGAAGAAAAACGTAAAACACACAAACACATGGAGGCTAAACAATATGTTACTAAATAACCAAGAGATCACTGAAGAAATCAAAGAGGAAATCAAAAATACCTAGAGGGCTTCCCTGGTGGCGCAGTGGTTGAGAGTCCACCTGCCGACGCAGGGGACGCGGGTTTGTGCCCCGGTCCGGGAAGATCCCACATGCTGCGGAGCGGTTGGGCCCGTGAGCCATGGCCGCTGAGCCTGCGTGGCCGGAGCCTGTGCTCCGCAACGGGAAAGGCCACAACAGTGAGAGGCCCGCGTACCGCAAAAAAAAAAAAAAAAAAGACCTAGAGACAACTGACAATGAAAACACGACAATCCAAAACCTATGGGATGCAGCAAAAGCAGTTCTAAGAGGGAAGTTTATAGCAATAAAATCCTACCTCAAGAAACAACAAACATCTCAAATAAACAATCTAACCTTACACCTAAAGGAACTAGAGAAAGAAGAACAAACAAAACCCAAAGTTAGTAGAAGGAAAGAAATCATCAAGCTCAGAGCAGAAATAAATGAAATAGAAACAAAGAAAACAATTGCAAAGATTAATAAAAGTAACAGCTGGTTCTTTGAGAAGATAAACAAAACTGATAAACCTTTAGCCAGACTCATCAAGAAAAAGAGGGAGAGGACTCAAATCAAAATGAGAAATGAAAAAGGAGAAGTTTCAACAGGCACTGCAGAAA